GAGACATGAGATATTATGTTACACAAAGTCCCAGAATTTTAGAAGGAAAGCAACACACAGAAATGTGCATTTAGCACATAAGAGCCAGGTGCATTACAGCTGCATCAACTAGCAGTTATAGCTTCAGCATGTCAGTGGCACATAACTCATTCTACAAGGACTGGTCTGAAAGTAACGCCTCCTATTTTATCGTGTTTGCCCCCAACATCAGAGGTGAATGTTGGTGATAAGTCAGCAGAAGTTGAACCTTCCCACCAATATTCCATTATATTTTGTTGATGTGTGACAGATAGATGACAGCAGAAGGGCAGTCTGACAGAGCGGCGTTGGACATGGAGAGTCTATGGAGCAAAGGTGTGGCACTAAATTCTTCCATGCGGAAAAAATGGCACCCTTTGACATTCATTGACACTTGCTGAACATTTATGGAGACCAAACAATGGCTGTGAGCACAGTGAGGCAGTGCATAGTGTGTTTGAGCAGTGGCAACAGCAATGTGGAAGATGAGCCATGTTCCAGATGGCCATGCACAGCCATCACACCACTACATGAAGAGTGTCTCAATCAGCAAATTGCAGATTTGTGCAGATTACAACCAGAGAACTGTGGACAAAGCTGAACTTTAGATCAGCCTCTATGTGTTGAAAATGAGGGTAGCAACGCTGAAATATGACAAGGTTTGCATCAATTGGGTTGCACACATACTCACACAGGAAGACAAAGAACACTATATGCAAGTTTGTCAGGACCCACTGAACCAATATGAAGTTGTAGGTGACAGCTTCCTGCATTGCATCAGTAGTGGTGATGAGACATGGTGTCATCACTATGAACTAGAGTCAAAACAGCAGTCCATGGAATGGTGACATCTGAAATATCCATCAAAGTAAAGATTCAAGACATAGTCTTCAGCAGGTAAAACGATGTGCATTGTCCTTTGGGATAGGAAAGGGGTGATCCTTCTGGATTTCCTGCTACCTGAATAAGCCATCATGACACTGACTGAGCTGAAGGCACAAACCTCCAGAGTCAAGCCAGAGAAGAGGAACCTTTCTCTCGCAACATGGTAACACCAAGCTACGTACCAGTTTGAAGACCAGAGATTACATTGCCAGTCTTAGCTGGACTGTCCTACCACACACATCACATAGTCCAGATTTGGTACCACCTGACTTCCACCTGTTTGGGCCAGTGAAAGATGGACTAAATGGACAACATTTTCTGAGCAACAATGCCATAATTGCAGCTGTAAAACAGGGGGTCATCACTGCTGGTGCAGATTTTTATGAGCACAGCATGCAGGTCTTGTTCATCGCTGGTGAAAATGTATAGCTCATGGTGGTGTCTATGTTGAAAAATAGTGTTTTGTAGCTAAGAATTTATCAAATACTGTTAGTGTATCTGTTGTAGTTCCCATGGAAATAAATTCCAGGCATTACTTCCAGTGACCCACATAGGTTGACACTGAATGCTGTTTGAAACAGTCTGCAGAGGAGGAAAGGTGACAGAGACAATCTACTGATACTGCTATTAAATTATCTCTGTGTTCACTGCTGCTGACTGCATGGGCACGTTTGACAAAGATCATCTGCTTTTCAGAGCACATTGCTAAGATAAAAGAGCACTAATCCCTATAGTTTGCAGGGGCAATAAATACATTTCTCTTCTAGTGCTTAAATCCAACCAAACAGATGCAGCACAAACTTCACTGGGGGAAATTGAGTTGACAGCCCAAATGCACATTACTTCTTGCTTTATTAAAATGGTACCCATTAAAATGACAAGAGATTGAGAATAAAACATACCCACAAACACAGGCACACAAAATGCTGTGCAGCTATTCTTGGCAAAAAATGTAAACAGATTTTCCAGAGTCACAAAAACAGGTATGCCATAGTTATTGCGTCTAATGAAAATTATTTACAATATTGTTGTGAGCAGGATGTTCTTACAGTCAGGTTATGGAGTGTGCTGGACAGGGCTGAGAAAGCAAAAAGGGCAAAAATCCAACCTTGCAGTACGACTGCAACTGACTGAAGACAGTGTTTCTTACTCTCACTTCAGGTGGGTCTACCACTCAGGATAACTGCCTATTACATGCAGTGTCTTCCTTGCCTTAGTATATAAAGAAAGTAAGTTATCTTCTGCTTAGTAAAGCAGGTCATTACATCTACAAAGGACATGAGCCTCCTGGAATAATATTGGATCTGCTTCAACAAAACCTCAAGATTATTCAGTGAGATCTCATCATATGAAATTTTACACTATGTATAAAAATTAACTATGTCTTTCATTCACAACACATCTCTAATGCTGACACAGAAGTACATTCCTGTAGAAACAGAATTCATAACTGGGCATGAATTCATGCTAAATTTACCTGCCAATGTAAGTGCAAAATAACACAGTATTTCAGATCCTTAGCTGTCTTAAAGTACCACAGTAGTGATGAATACATATCTCTTTTCCAAGTTTCTCATCAGTTGTCTTACAATGTATCTGGACTTTTTTTTACAGATTTCCTTTTCAGAGGCTTCATGAATGCAAGAATATTCATCCTACAATGGGAGCAATGCCTATACTTCTGAATCTAGAGTAGAACACTGACATGTTGGTTTACATGTACTAAAAGGGCACTTGAAGCCTGCACAGTCGCTTACTCTGTCCATTGTACACACAAATTCATCTGTTGCACTCTTGAGCAAATCAGAACAGCTACCCATGTTAGTCTTGTTTTCTTTTGGATGTCTTTTTGCACTCAGACTAAAATGTTCTAAAACCTCAGGCAATTACAGGGATCAGAACATAAGCCAAAAATATATATATATATTTCAATTATAAAAAGTATAAACACACAATGTATCTCTTTTTGTAGTACTACCAGAATAATAAAAAGAATCCACAGATATTTTTAAGAAGCAGCTGAACCTTAGAAATCTATCAGTTAAAGCGAGAATGCACAGCTGTAAACAGAAATAAAATTCAACCTCATACTTCCTATCTGCATCTGGCCCTTCAGAAGATACTGGCTTACTTGGCAACAGGGCAGAAAACTTTCAAGTATGGAGTGGAAATTTCTGGACAGAGTCTGAGTTATATTTACATCATCTTGACAGTTTGGCACAAGACCACACTACCAAGAGATTTATAAGACAAAATAACTTACACTGCAAGTCAGATACAACTATATTTCAAGTAACATTTTAAAATAATAACAAATTTTGAAGTAGTGCATGCAGACGTGGAATAATTCAAGCAAGGCTGCCACTCTCATTCTTAATTTCATCTGTTATACGAGCAAATTACCACATGCACACACACTGACCTGCAAATCCCAGAGCCTGGTACTACCACCAGTAGCAGTTTTACTGAGTAAAAGAGCATCTATGGAAGATGGATTTGGCACACATGCCATGTAGATTTGAATGAAATACTGTCAACTAGATGTAGCTTCACAATTCTGTGAATGCACTTCCAAAGAGGCTTTTAACCTGCATGCAAAGTGTATAGAATGACTTAGTCTGACTACAGACTGCAGGGGAAAAAAAAAAAAAAAAAAAGGACTTGCAATGGAAATGCTGACAGAACTACACTGATTGAGAGTGTTGGTATACCACATACCCTCCCAGTTTAGTTACATATCTCTGAAAAAGCAAGATCTGCAACAACAGAAGCTAATAAGCAGTATTAGCCACTGGCATGCAAGAAGCAAACTACAGCTAAAACACTGTTCTGCAGGGCCAAAGAATACCAACCACTGCTGATTCAAACTTCCCTGTTTCTGGAAGCACTCTGGCATGGATGGGCACGCTGCATTTCTCGCTCACTTCTGCAGATGTAACTCACAGTATCTCACAGTTCCTGGATAGTGAATTAGTGCTCCTGCCATGTGCTGCCCATAAATCACAGATGGGAAGTGCTGCTCCCCAGCCTGGCAGCCTGCTACAGGGCACAGCAAGGAGTGCAAATGGTCATTAGATTTTCACCAGTATCTTCAAAAATACAGGAGAATCTATGCATCTTTAAATAAATTAGAAGAATAAATCATTTTTACAAGAAATCACTGCATTCTCCCAGCCTGCTCTAACTTAGTATTCTGGGCATTCCCAAACCCTAACGATTAATGTGAAAATTAATGGTTATGGTGGCTTACTTTGCTTCATTAAAAACATTTTAAGCTTCACTATAAGCTGGGTGACAGGTGAAATGGCAAATTGCACCTTCCTGTTTTTAACGGTGCACTGATGAGGAATGATGAAGTCTCTCTGCCTCTTTTGTATCCACACTCAAGTTGTTATTCTTGCTGCCTGCTTTAGAGCTCAGATGCTTCTGAAGCTCACAGTCCCTTTGATCACATGAACACAACTTTCACTGTATGAATGACATTGCGGCCACAACACAATCGAAAATAATAATAGTTTTTAGATGGCCACGTATAACTACATTGTATTTATGTTTGTTTTTCTTTCATTCACATTCACTCTAAAACTTGGCAGATGACAGTTACAGTTGCAGGGAACTTCCATATTGTCACTGAATTTTGTTCCTTTGAATGTCAGACTGTGTGATACAACTTATCAAAGACGAACACCTATGTTTCCATCTGAATTGTAAGTATCACAAAACAGAAATAAGACTTAACTGAATATACCACGAAGATGCTGTTCACAGACTATCTCCTACATTGAAAACACACCAACTTCTCAAGTTGGATCCAGAACATTGTTAGGGAAAAAGCAATTCTGCTTAGCAGGAATATGACAGATGAGTGCCTTTCTAAGAAAAGCATATATTTCCTACAGCAGATCTGCCCAAAGGAAAATGAAAGCAATACGGAGGAGGTTCCTGGGGCATCCTGCAGAAAGAAACCTGCGTGCAGAAACCTGCGCGGGGAAAGGTACACAGCACCGACGGGCACCGCTGTGAGGTGACACAGCGCGGGGCCGGGGCTCGGGGGGAGGTTCGGCAGCTCCGCACGCCCGGGCTCGCAGCGCCCTTACCTTCGCCGTGCAGCGCCCAGGGCAGATGCGCGTAGTCCCACTCGTAGCCGCAGGCGCTGTCCTCAAAAGCGCAGGACCCAGGCGAGAGCGGCGCGGCCCGGGCCATCCGGAGAGCTGCGGGGACAAAGCGAACCCGGTCACGGTCACGGCCCCGCCGGGGTGCGCGGGGACCGCGGGCTGAGTGCCGCTGCCGCCGCCGCCGCCCGGACGGCGCCTCCCCCGCGGCCCCCGCTTACCGTGCAGGGCGAGCAGGCAGAGCCGCAGCATCTTCCGCGCCGGGCAGCCGGGGCTGGCGGCGGCGGCGGCGGCGGCGGCGGCGGCGGCGGCGGCGGGGCGGGCGAGCGAGAGAGAAGGAGGGAGAGCGGGGGCGCGGCCGCGCCGAGCCCGGGGCTACAGCGGGGGCAGAGCGCGGCCCCGCGCACCCCGGCGGGGCGCGGGGAGGGAACCTCGGCCGCGGGAGGGGCGGGGAGGGGCGGGGGGAGCGGCCACAGCCGGCCCGGGGGCGCGGCCGCGTGGGGCAACCTGTTGCGAGCGGCCGCGAGGGCGGCGGGGCTGAGCCCTGCGGCCCGCGCCCGCTGCCTTCCTCCCGCCGGGGCACCGCGAGAGCAGCCTGTGCTGCGCGCTGTGCTTCCCCATGGGCTGCTGCGCGCTCGGCGGCCCCTGCCCCGCCGGCTACCCTGACTGCCGAGCGAGGGAGCTGCTGGAGCCTCGCCCGGCTCCAGCCGGTGCAGCCGGCACAGCCCCGCGCCCTCCTGACCTGAGCTCACAGCGCATCACGCGCACGGTGCGTCTCCTACACCCCTGCGCACCCCGGAGCGGCCCCTTCTCCCGGCTGAACCCGCCCCGCTCCGCAGCCTTCCCTCACGGGGCACGGCCCCACCGCCCCGGGCCTCCTGCCCGTTTGGGTATCTTACGCTGCGGGTGCAACCCCTGCCTCCCCCACCATTCCACCACCCCAGGCCTTCTCGGCTACCCCGGCGCAGCCCCGTGCCACCAGCACCCCTGAGCTGTGCCCCCACCCCGGCAGCCCTGGGTCTCCGCGGCACTCTGCCTCCCGTCTGCTGGGCCCGGCCTTTACCCTCGCTGAATCTCCTGGCTCCTCACCCCCCGCAGTTCAGGCCCCTCAGCACCTTCCTGCCTCGACCTTGCCCAGCCTACCAGTCGCCTGCCCGGTGTCACAGGAACAACGGCATGCCCCCACTCCCTCCCCCAGATCCCATCCTGTGACAGCCCCGTGCAGCACAGACTGAGGCCCCTGCACTCCTGTTCAGAGTGCTTGCGCTCATTCCCTCTCACTTGTTTCAGCAGTTGTTGTGCAACTCAATTTCCCACCCATGAAAACTGCTATCCAAAGTAAATTCACCACATGTACTTTTTCCACAGCCTGTAAGAAAGTCTACTTCTGGTGGAAATGGGTTTTCTAAGTACAATCATTGGCTTCAGTATTAGACCATCCAGAGAGGCTGTGACAGAGGAGGAACAGAAGCAGCCACACAGAACTACCTCCAGCCCTTGTGAGAGACATGCTGCCTGCAGTGCAGCCTACACAGGCCGTTTCAACTACTCAGCTTTTATTTTTGTTGCTGTTGGCAAAATCAGGCATGCATCACAAGCCTTAAAAGGTTTCTAGAAAATCACTTGTGGCCAGTGAAAGTATCTCACAGTCTCCTTGAGCATTTTATTGCAGAGTGCTCTGCATCAAACTGCAGGCAAAAACTAGTCTTTTCTCAGGGACTTGACTGATCCCAAAATGCAAAATTGGCCCTTCATAAACTTATCATAAACTTTATGGGTTTTTAATCTCACTTTGCATTCTGCTTAAAAACCTAACACTCCTGCTATTCAATTTATTTACTATGTGCGGAACATCACAATCTCTTAGGCACACTGAGTGTTTAAGAACCAGTGTCTTCAGAATTCTCCGCTTTTTAAGGGCTCTGTTCCTCATACAGGATTCTTAAGCTTGTTTTCAGGGCATTCCCTCTTTCCTGTGACTTCTACCTTCTCTTACCCTTACTCGTTAGTTGAATTTATTCCTGATATTTTAGACCAAAGCTTGTACTAGGATGCAAAAAGTCCTTATTCCATGACTGCCTTCTGTAAATTAGACTTCTGTCTGAGAAAGGAATATGGGCTGACGTAGGCCTGCAGCTGCCAGCTTTGGCATCTGGTTAGTTCCTAAGAGTTGAATGGTGCCTGTATAGCATCTTATCCAACTTTTGCAGCTGTCATTTTCCTGTTCTGCCTTGCCATTTCCATTGTAGTTTGAGCAACAACAACAAAACAAAAAGTAGCACCTTCCAACCTTTCCCAGCTAGCTTATCATCAGAATGAATGCTATAGGACTATGGTTGCTTGATCAGAAATATGGCAAATCCAAAAAGAAAACTGTCAACCAAATTCATTTTTCTCTTTTAACGTAATTATTGTGTTTCTTTAGGCTTTATATCTTTACTTTGCTATAGCTGCCAGTTGCATGTGAGCATGCTTCACATGAGATTACCAAAGCACTTTCCTATCACTGAAGGAAAACAAACAAACAAACAAACAAACAAACAAACAAACAAACAACCTATATGCCATTAGGTTTCATTGTAATACAGCAACAAATTCAAAGCAACTCTTGAGTGATGTTTGCAGGAACTTCCTGCTAGAAATAAGGGAGCAGCACAGAAATGTCTTGCTTCTTCCTAAAATTATTTTGCTTACATTCTTCTTCCTTCCTTCCAGTACTGTTGCTGCAAGTTTCCTGTAATACCAATTGGTCAGCTGAGAGGGAGTGTGTCTTTTCCTTCAGTCACAGCTGCCCCCAGTGGTACACCAATAGTCAGTCCCTGAACTCTGACCAGGGCACAGCTCCTTTTCCACCTCCCCATCAGCTCTCCTCTCTCCTGATGCTAGGCATAAGCTGAAAGTGAAATGTTTTCACTTTTAAAGCCTGTCACATCTCCTTCTCCCAGTCTGGCTTCTCCTCAACATAGACATCAGCTTCCGCCCACTTTGGACCTCTCACATCTAAGAAGCTCTCAGCAATCACCCACATGGTTTATTTTTTGTTCTTCAGGTTTGTTCTTAAAGTACGATTGCTGTTTCTGGGTGGTTGTTTTGCTTGTTTTATTTTCTAGGCGACTTGCAAAAGATTGACAAGAAAATGGATGTCCCGAGGCCAGCATAAGTCATGCAGTACATTTACCACCTCTCTGGTTCTGCTTATCCACAATCCCTTTTCTGAGGAAAAAAAAAAAAAAAGAAAAAAAAATTGGGAGAGGAGAAGATTTTTTCTTCTATTTGTGCACAGGGCGCAGCTTAATAGAGGTACTGATCTTAGACTATGGTTCATAATTGCTATGGTAACACAAAAACAAAAAGGAATAACAAAGAAATCAGGATCACTTCAGTTGTAACACTGCAAATACTGAAATTCTACGTTGTCTCCCCAGTCTGTATACATAGCTAACTTACCAGACTTGACTTGTGGTGTACAAAAATTTTCCAAATACAGACTTCCATTTTAATAGCAATCTGTTGCCTTCTCTGTAAGAAGACTTTAACTAGGATATATCTAGTCAAAGCCATACACACTTTGGATTTATGTTCCTCTCCTGGTCCAAACACTCATAGCTGAAATCTTCAGAGACTCAAATAATCTCATTTCAGGAGTTGTGAAGTGTTTTGGACAGATGGCTGGCTAATACCTCTACCTAATCTTTTAGAATAAAAGGATTTATTCTTGATTCAAAGAGACACAAACATGAGCAAGACAACTGGTTCTGAAGCCAGATATGTGCACCTGACATAAATCAGTTGCAGTACCAAGGCAGCTGATTAGCTGAATGTCTCCGATCTGAAAAAACACAGATTTTTTTTTTACACAGGATATAAACATCCAGCATCAAGTATTGTGGATGATGCACTATAAATTCTTAAGAGCTCATGTCCCAAATTAGCAACTGATAGTGTTGACTCCCCAGTATCTGCACTCACCAAGAAGAGCTCCCTTGACTGATTTCGCCACTGGTATTGTAGATGGTTCTTATCTTAACAGGAGTGGCAGAGTGACACAAGAAGAGCTCTTTTTATATTAATTAATGATTATTAATTGGGCAAGTCCAGTCTGCTGCATCCTCTCAGGAGCCTGGGAAGTAATAAGAGAGGTATGTAATTGCCATGATATGTGTAGCTGGGATGGAAGTTATGAAGGGCAAAAGGAGAACTTGCATAGAAATGTAAATAGGGATTAATATTGGGAATGCAAACAGATATTCAGTGTATGCCAATTGTGTGAAGAGGCTTGAGAAAAAAATGTAAAAAAATGAGAGCATGGTTAGGTCACATGCTTTTGGGGATGGTTTTGAAATTAGATTTACAGATTCTTTTAGAGGAATTGGAGGAGGACAATAGAGAATTGCTGGGAGTCTAGGTAAGCCAAGTTGTGACAGACAAAACAAACTGAGTGAAAATCTAGGCAAGGGTCTCAAGACAATCAATTTTAAAATAACATAAAAATTCTTGAAATTGATATAAGCCTTCAGAATAGGCTAGTGGAGGTTGTTTTTGTTTTTTTTTTTTTTCAAGAAATATGCAGACGAGAACAGAATATTTTCTCTACGAATGAGTTTATAAAAGCAGTTAGCATCCTATTAACTGAGATTTCCTGAAGTCCCTCCCTGTCCTCTCCTGCTGCTAACTAGATTGTCCTCCTCATGTTATGGAGGAGCATAATTGTGCATATGTTAACCAGTGTTCGTCACAACAGAGAACAAATGTCAGTGCTGTTAGTCATTATGTTTGGGGTTTTGAGGTGAACAGAACTGCTTTACAAATGGCAGTTCAATTCCATCTGCACTTCCCCAGCTCTCTCCCAACCAGCCAGCAAAATGCACAGGCAAATCACATTTGTGTTTACTGTCTTTTGAGACAAGGGAGTGCAGAAATCCAGGATAAGGCAGAAGGCCAATCACATCTCTCGGTAAACCTGATTATTAAGAGAGCTTAATAATCAGGACAAATTTGATTAACGGGCCTCAATCTGCCTTATCTTAATTTGACTTTGTTTGTACTTCCAGATTCACAGCAGAGAAGCAGAAGTTCTGAGCTTTTCCATACTTTCAGCACTCCAAGCTACAGATATTCTCCAGGGCTTGTTTTGAAATCCTGGAAAATATACTTCATAAAAAGGTCTCACTGCATGCCCAGGCACATCCAGACTTTCCACTTGTTCTCAGACATTGGACACAAGCACTGTTCTGAGTTGGAAAAGGGTGTTGGGACAGGACAAGGAAATGAAGTCTTGTATCACAGTTCACTGTTCACATTT